CGCCAACGTGTTGAGAAAATTTTGAGCAGCGAATTTATGGTTTTTACAAGCTTTTACTTAACTCATTTCTGTATCATCTCTATATTCTCTTAAAAAGCGCATATCTTTCAATTTACATTTGTTCATTTCCTTATTACGGACATTCGCGCTGCAAGATAAAAAAGCGAAACGGGGTCACTAAAATGCTAGCAAAATTTTGAACACAGATAACAAAGTGTAATTTGTTTAGCAGATATTGACCAAAGCCTTGTAACGCAAACTTTGAACAATTTGGTACAGCAGGATGTTCGACTTGATGCAGATACAACTATCAACTACCAGGTTTCTTTCTTATTATTGTTTTCAAACGTTTGCCGTAAAATGTAACTTCCAGAATATGGCATCTCATAAAGATTTTACTCATGATAACGCCCCAAAACCACTCTACACGTCTGTTGTTGAAAGCGCACTCAGCAGTGCAACATACAAGGCCTTGGACAATCTTATCGTAAGTTGTAAGTTGAAGAGAGCGATAGCGATTGAGCTTTCTTGTGTTTGCAGGCATTCTACAATCAACCTGATGTGGACACGGCGGAAACAATGACGCCAGCTTGGGAAGCGTCTATTTCCTCGTTTCTCGATGCTGTGACCAACACCACAGTCATGCAGAGTGCACACACTTTCCTAGTAGATTTAGGTGAACCAAAAATACGCGTGACTCGTTCCAATGAGTTTTTTAACAAAAAAAAAACCACGCAGTAGAAAACAAAAAAATTTTCAGGGCTCACTTCCCCAAACGAGACACTTTTTAAGAATCAACTGTACTCTTTGTGGTTCACTTTCTACGCAAGGGATACCGTGACTGGTAGTTCAGGTCTGCGCTTTCTGTCCACCTTGCTGCCAATGTGACAAGCTAACAGAAGTCACCGTTGTTGCAGGGTTTGAGGCGCTCTTTGGTGGTGAAGTAAAAGAAAGCAATGTGATCCGCTTTGGTAACTGGCTTCGCTTCTATCAACAAGAGAAAGCAGGCAACTTGAACTATCATGGGTGGTTCCAAAGAGAAGTTGTAGGTTTCTCAATCTCTTAGCTATCACACATGGGAAAAAAACGACAAATAATCAACAGTCTACATCCAAAAGGACCATCAGCTCAGCTTCTACCTCAAAAAAGTGGTTTAGAAAATTATTCTAGAAAAAAACAATGCTAATGCAGTTAGAGGCCCAAGTCAGAGATGAGGGAAGTAAATGCATTGTAGAGACTAGCGACTCTTCTGCTAGGTTTTTCCCGCTTCTGATTCTCAATAAAATAAACAAAACGGATAACATTGAGCCGCATTTGGTAAGATGTGAGAGCCTAAAAATTTTACTATTAACAATATTCGTATAGGAGATGTATTGTGCACTCGATTTCAAATGTGCTGCTGTCAAAGATTAGCATTTTTTGGAAGTTACAGGTTGAAATTTCTTTCATTTGCACAGGCTGTAGAACTTTCACTTCAATTCTCCTGGAATGACTGGCAAGCAATGGAATTTTCAATGTTGCTCAATACTTCACCAGAGTTTGAAATGGCCGCATATACAATTTGTGCACTTACTGGTGGTCAGGTAAGTTATATACGAGATAGAATGCAGTTAAGTTATAAGCCAATATTATAGTGCTCTTTCGCCGTCAACGGTCAGCAAGTTGTCATATTCGCAAGTACCTTGACTAGCAACAACGTTGTCGTGGTAAGAATAACTATATTTGACAAGAATACGTCCAGTTACGGTTTGAAGACTCTCAAGAATTGAATTGACAAATTTCTCCTAGATTGATGACTGCCATCCAATTGTCTCATCAGGTGCCGCTACACAAAAGCCAGGAGCTACAACAAAAAAGCCAGCACCAAGCAATCAGAAGTTCCAGGTAAGATAATTTTTGACAGAACAAAATTATAAACAAAACTTTCATTTTAGTAATCAAGGTAGGAATGCCAAGCACAGCAGT